TGAGATGCGCTTGAATAAAATGTCTTAAATGCTTCGCCCCAGACAATTTGTGAAAGCACATAATTCAAGAGCAAGAGCACTGCCAAGCAGCGAAGACGGCGATTCCAGCGAGAATTGAGACTGCGTCTCTCCAGACACAGAGAAATGCCGAAAAATATGCGAGCATACTTATGTGCCTTGCACGCAGATAATATCTAAATTTGAGTATGTTATTAAAGTGAATTTATGGGCGGATGGTAATACATACGTAAAGCGTCCTTTTCAGCTATTTGTATACACATCTAAGCAACCCATAATAAATTTATGCGTTATAAAACAAGCGCTTGTGATTCCAAAGGCAGCATAAGCCTTGTATTTTTAATGGTCATGTGTTGTATATGAATATTTAGATATATGTGAGCACATATTATGCATTATGCTGACATATGAAAGTTTTTGTAGAGTTTATTACCAAACTTTAAGCCACATTTAATGGGAATAGTAGAAATCGTCTCTTAAATACACGTTTCCAAGAAAACTCTGAATATTTAAATTGTTCTGCTAAATCTCAGCTCCAGTTGCACATACTCGTAGAAAATAAACAGCATTTTCAGCACGTTTTGCGCACCTATTTGTGTTTGGCTTAATTCAAGAAACAATTAAGCTTAAATGTGCACGTGAATTTGCTTAAATGAAGCGCAACAGCGAGGCGCGTGCGGCATTGGTGGTATGGGGGCGTATGAGTAATGTGGGCATGCTAGCAAATGCCATCTCGCATAATTCGAGAAAAACAGAGATGGCCACTGGCAGCAGGCATAAGAGAGATGGAGAGAGAGAGAGAGGGAGAGGCAGAGAGGGGGAGAGAAAGCATTTTAGCGGACTTTGTGTTTGTCTGTTTATCCCTCTCTCCCTCTCTCTCTCACCTCTCTGCATATAAAGCAGGCAAACAGAGCTTTTATTCAACGCAATTCACGTACATAAAACATTTATCTTTATGGCCGTCTTCAAGTGTTTTCTTGTGTGTCTGTGTGTGTGTGCGCGCATATATGCCTATGCATGTGCCAACAATGTGACATTTCTCGTGTCTAATTTAAAACAAAAAACAAAAAGAGGGAAATTTCTAGTTACTTTCCAAAAGGGGCTTTCACAACTTTAAGCATTTGATTCATTCTACATGCACAAATTTAATTACTGCCGCATGTCCTTTTGCCAGCCAGCTGCACAGCAGTTGCAGTCACTTCAAAATCAAGTGCCGCAAGCCAAAAATAATATAGAAAAAAAAAAAAATAATACACAAGTGGGGCAGAAGAGGGGCATCTAACAACAACAACAAGCTACAGCAAGCTGTGAGCCTTACTGCAAAACCATTTTGTTGACAATCAAGTGCAGTGAGCATCGTACAAGGACATTTCCAAGCATCCTGAACAAGATAGGGGGGGGGGGGGGGGAGGGGCAAGCCCCAGCATAATGCAACAAATTTCAATAAGGGGCCATCAGCCACCTGCCGTCTCCATGGGGTGCCAGCTCTCCTCTGTTGACTTGGCACTTGCTGCTTGATGCTGGGTGCCCATGTTGCGGCCTCGGTCAGGACACGTTGGCGTTGCAAATGCCAGCATCCGCATCCGTCACTGCCACACACTCTGCCGGCAGGAGCTGAGCAGCAGCTCAAGTGCAATATGGCCGCACACTCATAATGCAGATCCACGCCCCAATGCCAATGCCCCAAGGCTGATCGGTGGGCCCCGACTACCCGACTGGCCATGCCTGTCAATTCGTCTATGCCACATTCATTCATTTATTTCAGACAAGTCCATCATGCAGCTGTCACACTTTTAATTTCGTAATTACAATCCCCTTTTGCAGCTGCCTAGTTTGTGGTTGCCTTTTCTTTTCTTTTTTGTTGGCCAATTGCCAAAAGCATTCAACTTGCATTCGCCTATTTTTCAATATTTTGCAATGATTTCTGACAGCATTTGCGGCTGCTTCTTGGTAATTGCCAGCTCAACAGATTTTTTAATTAAATTCCAGCTACATCAATTATGGAATCCAACAGATAAATAACATTATACGCAGGCGCCTTTGAAACTTTGACTCGATTTCATTAATTTTCTATATACTTATGTATAAAAACTTATTTGTTGCAACTAACTGACGGATTGGTTGGCTATCGGGTGTGACTAAACAAATGGGAAAGTTGAGGCGGAGTCTAAAATTTGAAAACAAGCAAGTTAGAATTTACTAGTCAGGAGTGCCAAACTCGGGGAAATGGCACGAAAATGGAAATACTATTCTAAAAATGTCAAATGTCAAATTTTGTGGATCCAGCCACTAGAACCAAGGAGATTTGATAAAAAAAAAACAGCATTTCGAAATTGATTCTTATCGATTGCTTGCAAATGGGAAAAGCTATCGAATACTTTAAGAACATACTCGTTAAAACCTCCAACCCAACCAGCTCCTGACATCAACGCGCACAGACGGACATGCCAAGACTGACTCGGCTACTGTTGCTCAGGATCAGGAATATATAAATATACTTTATGGGATCGGAGATGCTTCCTTTTGCCTGTTGTATAAAAATATTACCCACCTTTCACCCGTCATCAAACATATTTATCTGTATATAACTCGGAATTGATCTTGAGAAAAATAAATATATTGCGACTTCCATAAGTCTATAGAGAGTTATTTATTGAAAAATGTGTCCAATCGACAAAATGTGTGAAATGTAATTCACCGAATGCGGAAAATCCACTCAGTTGGTAAAAACTGAATTTCAAGGTTGTAGAAAAAGTTGTATGTTCTTCTAGGCAGAAAAGCAGGCACAGGCAATAACGGGTAATTCCCGGAAAGTAAGAAAAAAAGTGTTTTGCAAAAAAACAAATTGAAATGCACTAAATATGTGCCAAGCCTACTTCCACAGCAGCTTTTAATTGCTTGACCTATTTCGTTGGGGAGAAACAAAGCTCCCACAATCAAACCAAAAACTACACTTGGTTCGAGAATTGAATTTCATGAAAAACGTTTGAAGCCCCAGCATAACCGAACAATGTTCCAGCTTCAATTACGTATATTCCACTAGCAAAGTGCCCGAACACAGCCTAGGGCAACGATAAACCTCAAATGCTTTCATTTTAACAAGCCCGTTCGAGAAATATTTCGACATGGGGCAATTGTGTGTTTTGGTAGCTTGTCTTTTGCTTTTTGTTGTTCGAATGTGACATATAACAATTGTCCAGGCCGTGGCCATATATTTTTATTAAAACTCTACAATTATATAAGCTGGTTTTGTTGTACGTGCCCCTTTGTTGTGTCTTGTCTTATTGTGCGCCGCCGGCGAGTGGAGTTTCCATGTAGTTCACCTATAGAAGCCGGAACACATTTGTATATTTCACAATTTCCGTTTGTTTTCCGGAACGTTGTCGTTGCCGCTGTTTGTGTCACATATTTTTTTATTTGTCATTGTTGTTTCGCCTGATTGTTGTTGTTGTTTTGTATTTTGCTGGCCTTTTGCGCACGACACTCCAAATGGGGCATTCGGGACCTTTCAACGCAATTCCATGGCCCCGTTTCGGGCCGCCCTCACAATTTAAATTGTTTGTCTGCGGCGGCTTGGACATCCCTTGCTCTCGTTTCAAGTGCAACGCGCCGGAACACTCACAGCTACATACACAAAAATAACAACAACCTCTACAACAACTACGATAAAAACAAAAAAAAAAAAAAATACAAGAACACTTGCGTATAGCTTTAAATTGTCATCGTACCGTGTTTCTGCTAGTAGTTTTATTGTTTGTAATGCCACCTCATAAGCAAATGGGTATCGAGTGCAAATGCAATACCCTGTAAAAATACAATATGCTGAAATACTAACTCCCAAATAGTTAAATGCATTTTGAATATATTATGTTTTTATTTTTGACAAGAACTTCTATTTTCAATTAACTGTGTCGCATTAAAGTTGAGTGCACTTTAAACTTTGACTGCAACTCTTGTGTTTTTTACTAAAGAATAATTTATTTAAGTGTGCTCAGTGCTCAGTGCTTAGTAATAGATTAATTTAAAAGTGAGCAACTAAACTAGTTGATATGAAATTTAAAAAGCTGTGGGAAATGTTAGAAATCGTGCACATAACCACCTTGATTATAGGGTATATGAATATATAATAATTTCTTAAAAGTTATTGCGACTCGTCGCCGCATTTTATATATATATATTTTTTCTGTTTTCCTCGCTTTGTCTAGGCGCTGTGTTTTCTTTGCGCCTTTCTCTTGGCATGGCGCATGATTTATGGAGGCAACGTTGGTGGCTTTTAATTTGCCACCGAATCCTTGTTAAACATTTGCCGCGCGTCTCGTCCTCGTCTGGCTGGCAGCCTGAACTTTTTGTTTATTCTTCGCTCGGTCTCTTTACCTTTTATTTTTTTTTTTTTTGGTTTTTTGTTTTATTTTATATTATTTTTTTTGCGCAAACGCATTGTGCTTGCTGGCAAAGCATTTTGTAATTTATTTAATTTAACTTTTTTTCTTTGCACAACACAAAAGTTTCCGACACGCGCGTTTTTGAAGTTGACTGAAATGACAAATTGTTAGGGACAATCAGAATGGATGGCCCCAAGAAGGACTAGGATATATTTAGGCTCCTGCACAAAAAAAGCCTACCAATTACTTACCCGTTGTCTGCAAATAAGTCAATATCACGTAGATTAGGCTTCATTCTAGATGTTGAGAATCAGTCAGATATCAAGACATATATGCCAAGACTTTCTGTTTCTAGCCAAGCTTAAGAAGTATTTGAGCATTGCACGAAATCCAGTCAAATATAAATTAAAAATGAAAATTTCATATGCCGCTTAACAACATGAATTCAAATGGGAACTAAATCATCCCCGAGTTCAGCTATTTGCTCTTTATATAATATTCAGTACCGTTTAAACAAATCCAAAATAAAAAAAAATACAAGAAATAAACAAACAAAATGCACTTCAAAAATAACTGAGAAATGTTTTCCTTTCGTTTCAGGTACATTTCTTATTTGACATTTCACAGAGGCACGTAGTTGAGTGTTGGAGGAACTGGCAACTTTGGCTGCCAGGACAATGCCAGCTGCAGCACGAACAAATGTAGCAACTGGGACAATGTATATGCTTTCAGGATTATGACAAATGCTTGGCACAATTTGTCTAATTTGCTGCCATTCGTTTCATTTAGCCGAATTGAATGAATGTCTAAAATGTAGTAGGAAACGTTTTGTAAAACATTTTTTCTAAAAATGTCATCGTAAATTGATTTTGAGTTGAGTTCAATGGGCGAGCGACAACAATAGGAAATTACATAGCGAAATTGAGCAGCGGTCAGCCGAAGGGTACAGCCCAGGGCGATAGTCCAACAAAGCGTTTTGCGGCTTTCTGTATGCCAGAGGGTGGCACGGAAGCGGCGGCTGGCAAGTAATTTTACCCGTTTTATATGGCCAATAAATGCTTTATCTGCGTATCCAAATTGCCGCCAGCTGGCGTGCATGCGTGCCGATAAGCTCCGGCTCCAGCTGCTGTTCCAGTCTCAGATCAACCTCCCGAGCCGACTTGGGTGAGCAGCAGACCCATAGACCCACAGACGTTGCATTGGTCGTGCAGGCAGCAACAAGCAGCCAATCGATTTATTACCCATTAAATCATGGCATTTGGCTCTAATATTTCGACCCAGTTGCATTTAGCATTTGGCTTTAGGGAATTTAACGGCTTAGCGCCTGCCGACACCACAGTCAATGTGTAAAATTATTTCATTGTGCTCAACGGGATGTTGTCTGCGTGCGGGTGCGTGTAACTGTGGGTTATTTTTATTTGGATTACGACTACAAATTGCCTATTAAATCCAAAAAATTCATGCCTTGTATACACAATTTCATCTCGTCACGTACCGCATGCTCATTTGTGTTTTAACAACTTGATTTTTTACTACATCAAACGCATTTAAATTATGGCTATTGAGCTCTTGACTTACACTCATTAATGGAATTAAACATTATTGCTGCAATTAAATTTAAATGTTGGCCCTAGCATATTTACATGAAATTTGAATAGGCCAAAGCGAACCATTCAACCCTGCCACACTCTCAGTTCTTGGTAATACAAATTCTGTTGAAATATACTACACATAGACACATTTTCTCGACGCCTTGGGCAACTGATTATATTTACATTTCACATTTCAATGAGGCTAATGAATTAATTCAAATTCATTATGGCAGGCACATTAATATATAATTTAAAAAAAAAATATGATGCTTCAATAATGATTGATTATTGATTAATTATAATTGAAAGTCCTGCGTGTACTTAATATAACGCATACGCCTTGTTGAACGCACAAGGGAATGAGAAGCATGCATAATGATATGTGCGTGTTTTCCAAATTTCCAATTCCAAATTAATTTACATTGCATCTAAAATTCGAACTTAAAAGCTCAATCAAATTCACTCGAATGCCAAATAGGAAAAGCTAGCTAAGTTAGCTCTAGTTAGGTCACAGCCCTGTTTATATTTTAATGATGGTTAAGTGCTTTAATTGGCATTTTTCCCTGCAAGAGAAGCTCTTCATCAGAAATTATTGATGAACACAGTTCGCTTGGCTAACAACCTTCACTTTTGATAAATGCCTGAATGTATGAATGCGGAAACCGCACATCAATTATGTTGTCTTCCCTCATTGAATTATAATTGAAGCGTCATCCAGTTGCGTATAAACAAGGACAGACCAGAGCGCAGAAAAAAGCAGTTAACACAAATTGAGCGTAATCAAATGATGCAATTGGAAATGCTGCTGCCGATGGCGCTGGCACTGGGACGCGGTATACAAAACTCATTATTCTCAGCATTTAATCTCGTCATGCGCACAATTATTTAAAGTCAATAATGAAATCATTCAATATACGTCGTCAGCTGGGTGAAGTGAGTTAATCATGTACTTAAATACCATTCAGCATCTGCAGTTGAGGGACAGCACACATGGATTATTCATCCATTAGGCAGCGACATGGACTGAACATAGTGCCAAGTCTGTCTAAAGTGTGTAAATGCTCTTTGGCCCACTTTAATTCCAAGCTAACCCAATGGCAATCCAGATTCAGCCGTATCCATCAACGAGGCACGTGTCACAGCAACATGAATTCACAATTCGCATTTGTCGACACTCGGATGGACATTAATCCGGCCCAATTGATCCAACCGTTGCAAAATCGCTAAGTGGCACTGCCCATGCTTTTGGCCAGCTCTTGCCTTGCCCCAGCTGTATGGCTCATAATTTATTAGTCGAGCGGAGGCGAGATTCCATAAAGCGCAAAAAGAGAATGAAACTGAAACGCTGGACAGCAGTTGAAATGCAAATGATGCCACATTCTTACTCCGTCCACATCCTTTATAAATTCATTTACAAACAAGTGTCAATAATTAAACGCTCGACCCTCCGGCTCAAATAACTGAGACCACAGCTGCATCAATAAATATTATGAACTGAACAATAATTAAGCTGCCCCCACGATCCGATTGCGTCCAAAAATCAATATGTACAAAATGATTGTGGCTTAATAAAATGCAGATATTTTATTACATAGCTCCTGGTAGCCATTTTTGTTATCATAAAACAGTAGCCTAAGACTTAAATGTGCTTCAAAACATCAGTAGCAACCTTTCTGGTCATAAAACAGCTAACTTCCTCCAGCCTTAGTCTAAAATGTGATTTAAAGCTTCAGTAGAAGCTTTTTTGGTCGTAAAACAGTTAGCTACCTCTAGCATAAGGCTGAAATGTGCTGTAAGCTTTCATTGGCAGCTTTTGATGCAATAAGCAGTTAAATCTCTAATGTGCTTTAAAACCTCATGTGTAATATATTTGATATGATTTTAACAGGGGGAGCTTTAAGCTCTATACATTCAGTCTGATCCAATTAAAAGCTTTCAAATTAGATGTTAATTTTTCTACAAAAGACCTATTTTAATGACAATCTCAAAGCTTTCTCCAATCTTAGCCAAGCTCATGTCATGCATCAATCGTACAAGGATTAATTTGTTGCTTTCGCATGTCCAGCCATCAGGTGTGTTCATTTTTAGCTTACATAATTGACACCTGCCCGCTGCTGGCATCAGACTGACAAATAAAAAGTAAATACAACATCGGTCTGAAACTTCGCTTTCTGATGATATTATTATGTACTTGACATGCCTTTGCCAAAAACCAAGTCAACTGAAAGCGAAAGAACTCTGCTCAAACAACGAAAATCAACTTTTTTCTCTGCCCCACTCCCATGTACCCCACCAGCTAATCTGTAGGTGTGAGAAAATCAATTTGTGCGGAACATCGACAGCAAGAGCCACGTTAGGCCAGTTGTTGGCCAGCTCACTTTGCAGGCCAATGGCAGCTACTTAGGGCCTAGTATGGCATGGCTCGTTTGTCCACATTACGTTAGGGTCTTTTGCTGTTGCCCGTGTCCTATTGTTGTTTTTGTCCTCATGTGGCGGGCGAGCTGAATGCCATATGACTATAGCATGCAATGTCCTTAACACCTTTGAATATTTCATATGGGTATCGTCAAAGACTGCGCCTCAATTGCCGACAGATTTATTCGCTTTTAAGGCGTGTTTCATTTGCATTTTTCCAATGCATTAAGGAAATACACTTGCAGCAATTTGCACGATAAAACACACATTTTGATTGATAATTTAATATAAAAAAAAGATATTTTAAACCATTAAGTGTGATCCACCCAGCGTCGCCCTATCGTTGCAATCTTTCTTAACCTACACATATGCACGAACCACACACACACACACACCCAAGCAATCACTGACATGTACTTTACGCACATGCTACTTTTTCGCCCTTCTTAACCATCTTCGGTGCTTATTGTCTGATCTGTATGAAATTTGCTGGGCATTAATATGACATTCGACTCTGGAAACCCAAGTCGTGCGGAGTAGGTAGTCAAGAATAAGGAATTAAAGATCTATATACTATGCGAGAAGGAACATTTCAAATGCTTGTCTTTATTTCTGATCGTGCACCTAAGCTCATTTGCGCTATATGTTTTACTCTCTTCATCTCTCTTCCTTCTCTCTCTCTCCCTATCTCTCTCTCTCTCTTGTTTTGTTCCCCTTTTTTCTCGTTTTTCCCATATCCAGTTACAGCGTTCAGTTGGCAGTTCGAACAAAAAGAGCTCAACATTAAAATATATTTGTTGTACAATATTTGTTTTTCTAGCTGCGTAATAAGTTTTTCTAGCTGCCATCTGTGACTATTGTTGTTGTTGCTGTTGCTGCTGCTGCTGATGCCTTTTGTTGTCCTTATAAATTTCACATAATTTATGCAGATTGACGCTACGTGCAGCCAGCGGCGAAGAGTCTAGCAACAAAAGTTTTCAATGTGAATTTGTTGATGGTTAAGGGACGGGTGGCACGGGGCGTTGTTCATTTTGTGGGCAGTGGAGCATTTAACATAGAAATAACAATAACAATTTAACAAATTGTCGCCAACGCTGCTGCCTCTCTCTCTCTCTCTCTCTCTCTCTTTCTCGCTGTCTTTCTTTGCATCTTCGTAGCGCTCTCTTTTACATACACACAGACACACACACAAGCAAACACACACGCGAATTGTGCAAAACTAAACGTCTAGCCAGGCAACAAAAGAAATTCACTCTCAATATACATATGTATTTTAGTTGGCTTCCTGCTCTTTGTATATATTTCATTTGTGAATTATTTGCGTGGCCCACAGTACGCAAGAGTGTATGTGTGTACGTGTGTGTGTGTGTGTGTGTGTGTGTGTGTGAGTGTGAGAAACAGCGGAAGTGCCAGCACAGCAGCTGTGGAGCTGAGGGATGGGCGTCGCCCACGCGACTGCCTCGACGTTCGACCCTTGGCACAAAAGCTGGTTAGTCAGTTAGGGCGAATGTGGGTGTCTAAGGACACACCACAATCACACACACTCACACACATACCCTATATACTTATGTATGTGTGCAGTGTGGCCAAAGGCAACACACAAAAAAGCGATGAACTCATAAAAAACTTATGAAACTAATTTTGTTTTGCTTGGATTTGCTTTTGCTTTTACTTTTGGCCGGTGTTGTTGCTGTTGCTGTTGTTGTTGCTGCTGTTTGGCAACCCACTCGCCAGAAGTCGCGACACACACATACACACACACACACACACACACGCGAAAGTGGCAGCCGTTTTTATGGCTTGACTTGAAATTTTATTTTTGCAGGAGAGTCGCCATTGTCGTTTGAATACGCGTATTATGACTAGCCCACAGACACACTGTGTGTGTGGGAGAGTGTGTGTGTGTGTGTGTGCGTGTGTGCGTTGGCTCATCGTGCACGTTAGCACGGCATGGCCAATGCCAAGTCGGAATGGCAGTGCGTTGGCCAGTCCACGGCACTCGACCAAAATAGGCATTAAAGCGAAAAATAATAAAAATAATATTAAAAAAAAAAAAAAAAAAACAAAACAAAATAGCCAAATGCGTGCGTTGGCTAATTTTCATTTGGCATTTAGTTGGGCCGTTGTCGTTGCCATTGTTGGTATTGTTGTTGCGCCTTTGGCAGGCAATGAAACCAAAAATGAAAAATCAATAGCATTGCATTTGGCCAGCGTGGGCAACGCGACCCATATTTACTTGCCAACGCGAATGGGTTTCTATTGGGTGTCCTTTGCTATTGCTGTTGCTGTCGCTATTGCTGTTGCTGTTGCCATTCTCCATTAGCCAGCAAATGTCTGCGTTCTGTGTCTATGAGCTGAATACTAAGTGGTCTCGAGCCAGCTTCAATGCTTGCCGTTGTCTGCATGCATATAATGTGCCATGAAGCGGAAATATTGCCATACGCTGCGTATGAGCAATGCGTAATTTTAAACACATTTATGCGCAATATTGTCGATTTATATCATTGCGCTCCCTTTCATTAGGTCACGCACTCTCGACTGTTCCTCGCATTCAGTTCATAATTTTAGTTTTCCAATTGTAAACTTAACGCCAAGTCAAGCTGAACGTTCCAAGCATACGACAGGTATGCCTTTTTTAGGTTTAATGTTTGACAAATGTTTTGTAGTCGGATAAAGTATTTTGATCAAACGGTACTTTAAGCAATTTACATGAACTATTTCACGATAATATATGATACATTTTTAGTCATTCGAATTTAGTAAATATATCCTTAAAGGACAGATGGTATGAATTGGGGTTCACTTTACAGAATTTACCTATCTATCTGTATTTATATCAAAATATATGTTTATTGATTGATTGATTGATTTATTTATATATTTATAAATTCATATATTAATATAAAGGCTTAATATCGGAAGAGTAATAACAACAATAGATTTGCCAAACATGTTCCAAGGCAAAGTCTGTCATTCAGTCAACTGGAATAGACGTGCCCTGCACATAATAAAATCTACTTGCTGTTTAAAAATATCCGAATATTTTAAGCATTTCTACAAAACTAGTCGGGCTAGATAGATTTAAAAGCCAAAATGTTTGCTGTCGATACTGGATTTTGTGTTGGAAAATTTCATCCGTAATTGTGGAAAATGGGTGAAAACGGTTCACTGACATTCTGTTTTCGGGTCTAGCCCAATTGACTCTGCATCTATTTAACAGTGGATCGAACAAAAGATGCGTGTTAACAATTTTTGCGGTCCAGTGTTTGTTTGAGTTCATAAACATTTAATGTGCTCTACGTGGTATTAAACCCATTTTTTTAAATTATTTTCCAAATAAATCAGTGAACAAAATACATTTTTTTCACATATTCACAGTTCGTAGCATTTGATGAGGGTCAGTGCAGGCTATACATTTTGCATGCCAATTAAATTTTCATTGTACTTCTTATTCCACCCGTTAATTTGAAAACTTTTTAATTAGTAAATCCCAATTAAAATGCAAATGGTTATATTATCAGCACATAACGCTGTGCGCTTTTTGCCTGCCTCTACCAATTACAAATATTCTTCAATTTGCTGATTGGATTAAAAGGCGAAATTGAATTAAGTTACCGCATTAGCAGGAACTTTTGCCTACCCGCGATGCCATGGAGCATTATTGACTCAGCTGCTCCAACGAGCTGGGAATCAGATTAAAAACAGCAACAGAAAAAAAAAAATACCACTAAGTCCATTGGAAGGTTTTGGGGTTTGTGAGCGGTATCAGTTTTGTGGGAATCAGCGCAGTTAATTATTTGTTCCTTTTAATAATTGGATTAAAATTGCCAAATTATGAGTCAGTGAATAGAAAGTTCTTAAGGTATTGGAAGTGCCCGAAATATTTTTTGTTCTTTCCGTGACTGGTTGCGCTTTTAAAGTTCAAAGCCTGTTCATTTTGGCTGATAGAAATCGGCCAAAATTGTTAAAAACTTTCAACGAAACTTTTTCCTGAGCTCAACCAATGTAGGCGCTTGTTTAGATGGCAGATCTGAATATTTGGGCGCAAAGTGAAGCGTAAAAATGAGCAAAAAAAAAATAACAACCCAATGAACGCGAGCAGAGGACACGGCGGCTGCTCTTAAGCACTTTTATGCTGATGCTGTGATTTTTTACAGCTGCCATTTCAATGAGATGGCA